TTCGAAAAGATTTAGCTCAACAGTTTAAAGATGAACTCATTTGGATGCATTCCTGTGTTACCCTCCAGACTGCGTCCGGTGATCAAATCGAAGCAGAGGGAAAGTTAAGATGTTTCTTGGCCCATTGCAGACCCAGCTGACTATGACGTGCCGTCAGTGCAGGGACATGCTTCGGCCTCCGGCTGCATAGACCCATACGCAGCAATGTAATCTGCACAGTGTGTTGAGAAGCACTGTCAGTGTCGCTACTATTGTAGCTGATGGTGATTGTGTATGTGGTAGCTGTTCGGCCACGGCGAATTTTATTTCCTCGTGTAGGGAAGCGGGAGACGAGTTTTAAGAGAATGCTCTCCCGAAAAAGTAAGAATGTAACAACACGTGCATTTAACATTGAAGAAATAAATATCGCTTTTATTTGTATTGAAATTGAATAAATGTAATTGACTACTATGTTACCTGCAACCGTGATTCCATCCTCTTGTTGGTTTCCAGAAATCTCGATAAGCAAAGAAATTACTAGAACTCTCTCGCGACCGATTGAAAGCTTTAAAAAGCCGCAGAGAGACATCTCAGCACATTTGTTGTTTAGTTAGCTTCTGTTGTTATTGTTGATCGGATTAGCTTTCTATGCGCTGTGGCTTGAATTCTATTTAACATTTTAGTAGTTTGAAGGATAACTACTGATTATTACTACGTGATGTTTTGAACACTTGTACCAGTATCTCTGAGGAAAATTACAGCATTCTGTTATATTTCTTTTGATAAGAATAAATTTTATTAACATTTTATCGGACTAGTGCATTCAGTCTATTATGAAGCCGTACAGACGCAACAGTATTATAATTATACGCACAGGGCTGGAGAATAATTAAAATGTAAATTACAAAAAATGTTAAGACTATCTGCTTCGGGAAAAATGCCTACGCAGAGGACTTTCTAAGAAACTGCAGATAGTTTCTGGTCTAATATTTGAGTTGCATACTGCTTATACCATAAAATACTTATACAACAATCCCATTCTCATGTCGAGAATCAAATCGAAATTTTGCACGTAACGTGCTATTGTTTTAGCTATTCACATAATTGCATATCTGGGAAGTTTTGAAATTTAGTAATAATATTTGCAAAACAGGTACAGATACCTGGAATACGAATCCACAACTATGATGCATATTTTTTAATGATCACACGATCTTTTGCAATTTAAGTTGTTATTTAAATATTAATCTTAATGAGTATGTGCACAAAGACTGAATAAAAGTTCCAATTTTCAATTTAATATTTATTGACAGGTATAAATTTATAATTTGACCTAATACAGAATTTAGACAGAAAATTCAGAAAGAAAATTTTATATACAAAACTAAAATTACTTTATATACATTGGCAATGCACTTGAAACTACAGTTACGAAATTAATACGCATCGATATATTAATCCACTGCCGTATTAAAATTAAGTCTGTAACAATGTATTAATTTAATATGGATTAAAATTATTAATGGTAAGCGGAATAAAAATTGGCAAAGCCGTAAGCAATGTTTTTCAGGTCTAATTCTTGATTTCGCAAAAAAGCTTTGCATATCAATTACGAAATTAATACACATCGATATATTAATCCAACGTAATCACGGACGTATTAAAATAGAGTCCGTAACGACGTAATTATTTATAATTTAATATGCATTAAATTTTTAATGTTAAGCGGAATAAAAATTTGGCAATGACGTAAGTAACGTTTTCTGGTCTAATTTTTGGTTTTTCAAAACAGCAATTTAATTAACAGCTTTATTGAATATTTTAAAAATCAATCTGGAAAGCTTTTAAATTAATTAAAGATATTTTTCAGCAATGAAGCAAACGAAAAAAAATATTAATAGTTAATAATTTTTGTGACATTCATTTCAAAGAATGAAATTCAAAATATTGAATTATTAATAAAAAAAGATACTATTCGGTTTTGAGGGCCGTAAAAATCGCCAAATTATTGTTGATGCCAATGTTGCCAAAAATAATTGCGGCAACCCTAAAGCAAGAAAGGAAGTATAATAGTAAATAACTATTTAAGATTGATGTTTTAATTTAAATGAAAAGTTACTTTCATATAGTACTTTTTTATTATTATAATTTATAGTATAAAAAAGGCTAAACATGACTGAATGGAAGCATAAGAGTAAACAACTGTTTCAGATTATTATTTTAATTTAGATAAAAGGTTAATTTCACATCATACAATTTATTATTATTATTATTTATGTAAAAAAGGCTAAAATAACTAGGTGCTACTTGGTAGACGGTTGCACGGATTTTGGCGATTTTTTGGCGATCTTTTTTGGCGAGCAAATGGTAAACCTATTGCTAGAGAAGTTATTTATGGTAACCGAAACTTTGTTGTCATTTTATTTAAAAAATAATGCGTTTTATTATGCATAAATTCCGTGTTTTAAATATTATTTACGACTTCTAAATAATAAAAATGAATTGAATTTTGCTTTTATTTTAAATAAAAATTTTATTGTTTATGATATTTTATGGAATTTATGTTGTGAATGGTGTAATGATGACGTCACACTATTTTAAAAGTAATTGGTTTTAATATCTATAATTTAATCTAATGTTTAAACATTATTATGGCTGTTTAAATATTAAAATAGAACTTAATTTTGCATTTTTAAATATGATTTTATTATGAATGATTATTTTAATAATTTTAATTCTAGGCGTGATGCAATCAGCTCCCTGATTGGTTACTGAATATTTGTGCATTACCGCGCCATTTTAAAATTTTATTATTTATCTCTTCGAATTCCTCAGATTTCAAAGCGAATGGATGTCTCCGTTTCGAAGATGAATGTTGTTACTGGTAATTACCAAGGTATTATTGTTATCGGCATAAAAAAATTTCCGTTTGAGATCTTATTTTGGCCAACCTGGATTTCCTAATCAAAGATTTATTTATTGTTGCAAGGGTCAGAGGAAATTTATTAAAAATTTTTGGAGGAAACCTCGCTAATTGCTTCTTCAATGAAGTACGACAGATGGGGATAACAGATGAAGATCTTTTTCTTTCCTGGTACTTATCAATATAAGTAAGGTAAAATGCTTAAAAAAAATGTAAGTACATATTTTTCTTTTACTTTATTATTGTATACTTCAGTTTTTATTAAAAAATTAATACACTTTTTTCGAAAATTCCTGAGATATTTATTGTCACATATGTTTTAATGTTAAATAATTATATTCTATAAAACTTATTTTAAATAATTAAAATGCCATCGGGCATTTTAATTATTTAAAATAAGTAAGAATCAAAATGCTGTCGAGCAGTGCCCCGATGGCGTTTATTACGCCATTTAGCACTGCCCCACAGCCGTTCTACTGTTTGTGTATGACACCCACTTTCCGGGTCCACAAAAAATTGTAGTGTGGTTGACAGTAAAGTGTTCAAAACTGGCATCTTGCAATTCATCTGACTTGTATGATTTCCAGCAGTCAGTATAAATAAACGCTTCCTTCTGCGATATTATCCTTTATGATGTTCAACAAGGTTTTGGCCGATCGATCTGGAACAGCGACTAAGAAACTTTCATTTGATTCTCTTGCATAATCCGCCGAAAACCCATTGTGGCGGAAGAACACGTCCAACAGTGTGTGTTGGACGTGTTCTTCCGCCACAATGGAAAAAAAAAAGGCTTTCGTGTACTGAAAAGGCTTTCGTGTACTTCAATAATTTTGCCATATCCGCCAATTTTAGACTTGGGCCGAGCAATTAAAGCTGAGGTACACACCTCACTCATGTAACTGTTCCCAGTCTACAACTGTACTGTGGTTCATCTTGAGCTGGAGTTCACAAAATTCAACAGATGTCTTTTCCTGACACCAAAAATAGATGAACCTAACGGCTGTAAGGAAGGGGATTTTCGATCCTTCAAACCAATTTTGACTTCTCAATCCTTTCTTCTCATTACAGGTTTCTTTTCTGCACCGCCATTTTGCTACCGAGTTATCGATAAAGCATAATTCCATCTCATGATTGTTCAAACATAATTTTCTATCATGAATGATGCCTTTTTTTTTTTTTTTTTTTTTTTTTTTGAAAATTTCTAATGCAGACTTTTCTTCACTGGGCATTTCCCAAATTGTAAAATCCATAGCTTTATCAAAAAGAGAATTAAAAAATTAAACTAGCATTTCAATGGCGACTTGCAAATATAGAACTATCTAAAACTTACGCAATTTGAAATCAGCGCGTTCGCGAGATTTGGCGTGCTGTTTAATGGGCGAGTTTGCTAGACTTGGCGCTTTTGCGCATGCATTTTCGCTGCAATTTTTTACGGTCCCCGAAACCGAATTGTACGAAAAAAACTATTAGTCGCTCACTAAACAGTATCAAACATCATTCACAATTTTAGCTATATTAAGTTTGGTTTTGTACTCACATTTCAAATCATCCTGTCAGTAATAAAATTTCAGCCTGATTGCTAAATATCTAATTAAATACGAAATTGGTAACATCATAGTAATAATGGCTCTTTTAATTCAAATAACTTTAAAGTTTTATTATTTATATTTGTTACATAAAAATGGTACACGAATTTTATTTATTTTTTATACTGATATTAAATGTATTCATTACTTATACATACATACATATATTCATATGATTTTTATATCGTATGAAATGGTTTATCGAAGGATTACAGTACAAAATTAGAGGTTTCATTCCGTACAATCGAAACACTATTTTAAGATTATCCTTGTCTCGGTTAATTTAGCTTACAGAAACGTCTTGGCGCAGATTTACTGTTTTTTTTAACCTCTTCACAAAGAGGTCGCTAAGTAAAAACGCAATCAGAAAGCTGTGGCCATTCATGAAGAATCAGAACTTAAGCATCCTTTGCCAGCATGAAGAATTTGTAATCATAAATAACGTGCTGTCATTAATTCATTGTAGCGTAACAAGAATGACAAAAGAATGTAAGCTCTTTTTCAATACTTACAATAAGTCGAATTGAGAAGATAATCATTAGCTTACACAGGTATCAAACTTGCGCACTTTAACATCAAAAGATGTTTAATTTCACTTCCTTTTGATAGCTTGAAGCATTAGAGATTAGACCATCGAACCTGGACTCAAAACTGCAAAATGAAAATGAATTTTTGTCATTATAAAAGCAGCATTATAAAGAACAAGAGACATAAAATTATCAAAACAACAACCTTGTGTATGGTGTAGGTTTAGTCAAGATCTCAATCGATTTCGAGGCCAAACGGTACAGTCTTCATCTGTAGCAAAGAAATGTTTCACCTTGACGTGTTTCTCTTTTGTTTTCAAGAACAAGGGAGTCTAAGCTTCTGTTACCGAGTGCACATATGTAGAGGTATGAACCTATTTAATGCGTGCAGTAAGAGGAAAATGAAATTGATTTTTCATCAGAAATTAAAAGAGGAAGAATTAATTGCTTCGTATATGTTTGAAATTTTAAAGGAGCGTTTGGTCTAAAACCTAAAGCATCACACTACTAGCTGGTTGTGTAGTCCCTAACACATTTGCAGCTCAATGGATTGTGATTAAAGTGCCTTCTTTAACAGTCGGGTCTAGAGTAAATGTCTGCAATATTTATGCATACACTTTTAAGGAAACATGTTTTCGATGCATTGTTAAAGCTCCTACGTTTGTGAGATTGAATCGGTTTAATTTTGGATCTGCAATCTTCCGGTTTCACAGTAAATTGAGAGAATTATGCTATGATCAGTCTTATTAGGATACTGAAACAGTTGAACCCGAATAAACTGGTAAGGAAGGTTTGCTCTGTTTATTTGCGAACTTAAACTATATTTCATACTTTTTGGGCCATATGAAGTCAAAGGAGATTTCATTTTGTCAGTAGAACCGCTAATCGATAGGACTTCAAGCACAAATTTAACAAGTAGCGCGTGTTTTCTCGTAATGCTCAAAGAGTTGATCATAGCTATACTTCATGCGAAAGTTATAAGTTTAGGTTTCAGAAAAAATACGTATGAAACAATTATTTAATTTGCCAAGATTTTTGGAATATTTTTGTTCTTTTAACGATTTCAAAAATTAAAAAAGCCACTACTATGTTGCAATTGCAGCTTTACGACTGTTATAGTTTCGACTTAATACAGATAGCATATCATAAAACTAGATTAATTTCCTTCTCTAATTCTAAGGAGGTATATGTATTTCGAATAAGGATTTTATTACTTTCGTCAGGCATAATAGAAATTCGAGTAGCTTTTTTCTGTTTGAAGGTTATTTTTAGGCAAAAAGGCAGGGAAACTTATCCATCTGCAGTCAATGATCGGTATCATTGACTACTGACAGATCTTGGCGTCAGCAGATTCTGATAAGTCGTTAATTGGTTTAGGTAAGAGAAGAGTGGTAAGAGGATTCTTAACATTCATAAGAAAATCACTCGCACTTAGATACATTTTAGTTGCTAAGTGATCTTGATGAATACCTTTAAGAATCAGGAATGATTGACGAGTTGCAGTTGAAATTCCATCAGTCTTCTGAAGTTTATAGAGGCTTTTTTAATGTACTTCAATATTAACTGAATTTTTCATATCAACACAAACTGCTTGTCAAAAGAAAATAAATTGTTTATTTTTCTTGGCTTCGCATGGCAACATAAATGTGTGGACTAATTTTAACACTCATGTAACTTGCTTAGAAACAACGTTCAATTGAAGAAACTGGTAATAGCAAAATGAATCTAATTTATTTTATGTTGTGACTAGCTGATACCCGTCCGCTTTGCTGGGCACACTATTTTAATGTGAACCTAGACTTCTTATATGGACGAAATGTCTAATTTCGAATTGATAATTAATGTAAATGTTTTAAATTTAAAGTCGGGAAATATAGTGCCATTCCGTGAATATGTCATACACAGATTTCCGCATCACTCATGAGGTACTGTGTAGTGGGATGTGTCCCCATTATTTAACGTGGCGGGATCCCCAATAGATCTACACCACGAAAAATTGCCAACATAAAACTGAAGTTTATATATATTTAACTGTTATCATAAGTTTTATGAAGATAAATGTTATTATCTTTGTTATTAAATTTTTTAATCAAATATAATTATTTGTCCTTCATTTTGTATCTATGGCAATTTTTATAAGTAACAAAAACATTTTTATTTTTTATCAGAATAATTTATTTCTCTTAATATTAACATTTATTTTCATGAAACTTATGATAACAGTTAAATATGAATGTTATTATTAACCTTATCATTTAAATGTTTGTATTCATTGGATTGATGCAAGTTACTTACCAATTTAATAATTTTAGAGGAAAATGTATTCATTGGCAAAATTGCATTTCATATCTAGTTTTGGCAACAATAAAAGAAAATTATGAACTTGGATTTCAAAACCAAATGTATGAGAAACTTCTACTATATAACAAAAATCCATTTTGGACAGGATTTACCTAAAATCCATTCTTAGGGTGCGTCTAATTCGTGGAATGAGTAACTATGCAAAATTTTAAGTCAATCTGATGTATAAGTTTCGGAGATCTCGTGATGAGTCAGTGGTATTTCGCTTATATATATATATATATATATATATATTTAAAAAATAGGAATTTTCGGTTAAAAAAAAGGTTAAGAACAGTGCTTTATAATTTAAAAATTGTAAAAAATATTTCACTGAGCCATTAAGTATGCAAAGTTCTTTATATTATTTATCACATCCGGAGGAGTAGGGACGACTTGCAGAAATTTAACATTGGTTGCCTATTGCAGCGTGTATAATTGTCAAGAAAAAGCTGGTTGTAGCGCCTCATTTCACTAATTAGAATTTATACATATTTTTATTTTTGAAATTGAAATTGATTTTTAAAAATTTAGCATATTTATCAAGCATAATTAACGTTCCAAATAATTATATAACTATTGCATGCTTTCAGGGGCTGGATATTTTTTAGCTTTTTCCTATGCTATAAGGAAATTTGTAACTACTTCTTTTAGAAAATAATTTTAAATCTGAACTAATAGAAAATTTCAAAAGCAATTTTTCTTGCAATTTTTATGCTTTGTTTTGGTGTAAATAAGTAAAAAATACTAAAATATAAAACAAATTTTCGAAAGTTTTGTTTTAAAATTCTAAATTGTGCTGCTTTTTTAAAATTATAGATGAGTATTATAGCACAATTTGGAATTTTATTTCAATTATATTTCACAATACATCATAGTGAAAAGACTTTTGACTCCTTAAAAATTTTATACATTTACTCTATATTAAAATTGTAAACCGTAATAATTAATTTTGCTTGTGTTTTATAGTGATTATTTTTTAAATTTATTTTTAGTTCTGCATAAGATTTTTTTTTTAACTTACGTTAATTTAATTTATTAGTCCAAAGGGCGGTTAGCCTAGAAAGGCTGTTAGTTTCGAAGCTGCATTTTGCGCTGTTTTACTATAAATCCGTGTATCCTTGCAAATTGTTGTTACCAAATATTATCGCCCTGTATTATATGTAAAGAAGAAATAATGAAGAATCTGCATAAATACATGTAGGTTTCTCGCACTGTGACAAAAACGACAGTATCTAGAGCCATCAATTTTGAATAATGTAATCCTCCACCCGAAAAATTGACATCGGACCGCCGAATTTTTGAATTTGTTTTAATCAATTTCATATTTTGTAAAACTTTAACGAATCTTTGAAACAAACTCAAGATTCAGAGCGAGGCACTGTACGAAAATAACAGTTTTATCTCCAGTGCGGAAATTCTAAGAAGATATGCTGTTTTCAAATGTATGTGGTTACGGGGTGAAGAACATGATATTCAAAAAATATAGGTAACACACAAAACTTTAAAAAAAGGTTTCCTTTTGGGCGTAATATAAAATATGAGTGCTTCTAGATTTTATTTTATCTTTTTCTTCCCTTCATTACGCTCAGAAAGTTTTATGCTCCGAAATTGAAGATTAAAATACTAATCCACTTTAATGTAATAATTTAATGATCATATAATCAAAAAAATTGATCGTTTCGCAATGTTTATAGTTGGAAAATCACTGCCTGAAAATGTTCATTAAATTTTTTAAAAAAATTATCAGATCTGTTAATTTTCAATTTATTTAATTTCAATATTTATTCAATAAGCATCGCATACTATCAATCTTTTAATTTTACTTTATTTTACGCAAAATGAAGTAAATTTGGGTGCTAGAGTTTACCGTTCGACCAAGTAAAGATGTTGGTACAAGAGCATGAAAAAAAATGAAAAAAAGGGCTTTAATGAGATATATTAAATGCTATTTGGAAAAAACTGTGGCTTTCATAATCTCATCACTATACAACGTATCACATTTAATAATTAAAAAGAGTTATGTGATACAAACGCCGTAGGTTTCAGTGTTAAAGTAAACCAGATCGTCCCTACTCTTTCTTGCCGACATGTCGGTGACGCGCGCCCCGCCACTGGGTTAGTCTATCTCTTATAAGGTCCATGCTGATAGCACATTGCTTTTTGCCATCTGTTAAGTTCCAGTGAGTTCTGTTAATTTGTGTCAATAAAGTTTATTGTTTTAAGTAACATGGAGTTTATTGTTTTAAGTAACACGGAGTTTATTGTTTTAAGTAACATTTGTGAGGACCAACAATGAGTTACATGTAAAACACTTTTAGTATCAACAGATCTAAATTAGTTTGGATCTGTGCATATATCCTCGTGATGTTTAGGTATCAGTTAACAATGCTTGTTAGTTTTTGGAACTGTAGCCGAACAGTGATTACTGTGTGTTCCGGAATCAATGAGAAGTAAAGCAATTGGTGTTTTCGAATTGCCCTTGTGTCTCGTTGTTGACAACAGCACAGGAGAATAAGTGTAATTTTTGGTAACATGCTTGGCATTAAAAGAGTTTTTAAGTGCTACAAATGAAACATTTGTTGTAAAATACATTGTTTTCCACAGCTTGATATAAATAAATATCAGGTATAGATATAACAGAAATAACTTTAATTTGTGCTGCGTTACTTTACATTAAACTCCTATTATAGTGATTCTGTATTTTTCTACGAAAATATGGTAGGAGTTCAGAGGAAAGTACCATTTCCGGTTTATCATATTTAGTGAAAATCTAAACTGTTAATCGCAGGCATAATTATCTATGCATTGTATGTACATATATAAGTTTTAAATACCAAGTATGAGAAATTTCGGATTCATGTTTTTCACGAAAATCTGTCCAGAACGTAAAGTTTTAAGAGTTCAGAGCTTCATTTACGGTATACGAATTTTAGCCAAAATCTAATTTGTTATAATATTGATATAAAAATTTAAATGGTAAAAGTGAAAAGATTTGTATTATATTTTAATATCATGTTTCATTAAAACTGTTATGGGCTTCAATTAAAACATCACTTCTGGTTGCCTATTAAAACTGTTATGGACTTAAAAATTAAAGCCTCACTTCTGGTTGTCCGTTAAAAGCTGTTACGGCCTTCAAGTAAAGAAAGTAGGCTGTTCAATTTTTTCCAAAACCTAATCAACACTTAATATGAATGCAGAAAGCTTAAATACGGAAAACAATTTTTTAAAAAATTCTGACATTAGTTATCATGGGCGAAAACAAATTGTCTCGTAACGTATACTCAAAGACAGACATCGTTATAGAAGCAGGAAAAAAGTGTTGTGGGAACCCTAATTCGTGCTCATTTATTGAAAATTCACTCTCGAATTTTAGGACCGAAAACATTACCTTCCTCTCTTATTTATGTATATGGGTTGGTAGGAGGAAATGCTCCTTTTGGACACTTTAAATTCATTTTCAAAACTGTAACTGAACTACCTCAGGATAAAAAAAAGTTCCGGTTACAAACAAATGTTGAATTAAGTATATATATATATATATACAAGTTATTTCTCTATGTAATGAAGCTTGAACGATTTAGAAGCTGCCATCGTGCAATACTATATTGTGTCACTTTCGCAACAAAATTGCATCGATGTATCTTTGCGATTTCTAAGTTAATGTCAGTTAATTTGCAACGTAATGATAGTTTACACTATACAAGGTCTGAATGCATATTTGCGTCCCTATCAGCTAATGTTTGAAGATATGAAAGGGAATCTTTGAACAAAGTGCTTATCAGTCTTAAGGATGGAATCTGACTGTCGGTGAAAATGAAATTTTTAATTTTTACTTTTAAAATACAAAATGAGACGAAGTCTTTGAATCATTGCTCAATATACGAGTTCAGAACGTTGGAGATGTATGTGGTGATATCACTGGCTGAGTGTTAAACTCATCGTTGTTTCGAACGCTTCAGGTTAGGTGAGTATTCGTCGAATTACCAGTATTCGGATTTATTCCGTCATTAATGGGCTGACAGGTCAGAGATATCATAATTTAGTGCTGTGAATCATGCCAGAAAAACCAAAAAGAATGTTGTGAATCAGCAGTTTGTAAAGATATTAGATTTGAATAAACAAGTCGATGAAGATTAAGACTCTCTTGTCTTGAATCTTATTGTAGCGCTCAGTAAATGAAGATAATTTTTACCGATGAAGAAAATAATTAATTATAGCTGAAGCATCCGTGTTAGCACAGCAGAACAGTGGTAGATATTGTTTAACTCGTAACACAGTAAACGAATATTAAGAGTTATTAAAATCGTTTACTGAACAAATGCTCAAATCTCTGAGTAATAAACATAACAGCACTTTAGGCTGTAAACAAATTAGATCACTCTCTGGACAATCGATTTCCATCGATAATGGTGTTTTTACACTTGTGTCCAAAGGGGGCGGCGAGGGGGTGTTAAGCGAAGAGAAATGCATTGCTAAAATTATTTTAGAAACATTTACCATAGGTTCTCGGAAATGGATCTCCTCAAAACATGCAAAATATCGTCTACATGCGAGTAAAATTTGCTACCAAGGCAGTAAATTTTAACAATCTGTATCGTTGGTTTTATTTAAGTAATTTTTATTATCCTGTTCTGTCTATTAAAGCATAATTTAAAATACTAAAATAATATCAGCGATTAAACAGTATTACAATAAATAACAAAGCAATCAAATACAAACTAACGTTTGTATCTGTGTTCACAAAGATTAAAAATATACTGTAAACTACAAAAAAAATAATGATAAGAATTAAATCAATAAAAACAAGTACGCAGTAATTTCAAAATAAATGAAAAAATATACAGCAAAAATAGAAATAATAAAGTATTAATATTTACATAAATTACAACAATCTTAACGAAAAAGGGAACCACTTTCAATTTTTGAGGGCAAAAAGGGGAAAATAAAAGAAAGCAAAATAGTAAAATACTTCACCAGATTCTCTTCAACTCTTCAGCAACAAGGAAATAGATGATAAAACAGCATTATTCCAGTTGTCATTATCCCAACCTATAAAAATACTACAACTGAAATGAAACATAATATGCATCTAATTATTTAACAGATATTCATCGGCATAAGTAATTTTTTACTTAATGAAAAGTAACCCTTTGAGAAACACATTCTGTTCATCATAGTTTTGAAAGTATTATTAAAAAATGGCCACCTTTCCTTCGAATAAAAAAATCAGCATTTTTAGAGTCGTAATATAATTAAAACAACAGAAAAAGTAAGAGCAAAGCTATAAAATAATTTATATTTGTCAAACACGTTTTTCGTTTCCGGGTAATGTAATAATCGCTCCTATAGTGTTCTAAAAAGCTTTTGTCAAAAATAATTAATTTTTTTCCCATCAATAACATTTTGTAAGGTAGTGTTTATTTAAGGCAGCTGATAATTAAAATGGGAGGATATTCATTTATTTTGACAAGAATTAAAAACACTCACTACCGGTGAGATACTTTTGAGCGTATAATCCAGGGTTGGCCAAGCTCCTTGATAGTCCGAGCCATTTTTCAAAATCTGAAAAAATTTTTAAAAAGTATAATTATTGAAACAGAGTAAAAGAATATGTTATTGAATTTAAATATGAAAAATCAACATGTTTATTTTACTGATTTTGATAATTCTTTAAATTTGGCGAATATATGACAGCATTTCTCAGTAATTCTTTTGAAAATCCTGGTTAGTTACTACGATGGTGTTTGGATTTCACGAATTTTAACGTGGAATAAATGATTCACATAATACGTTGTTCCGAATATGAATAATTCGACAGCAGCCTTTTTTAATTCGGATACATCGATCTGGTACAAATTTCCAAATTCAGTAACGGCGTCGATTTATATTTTAATTGTAGAGCTTGATCTTCTTGCATCTCTATTAAGTCTAATTCTCCGTAGGCTTTTTGAGTCATAATTGTATTGGAAATGGAAAACTCACCTTGAATTATGTTTATTTGAAATGGATCCAGAAAAAAATCAAGGGACGATTTAAAATATTTCAAGTCTTGAGATCTATTTTGGAACTCCGTCAATATTCCTTCTAGCTTTTTTATATGGTCATTGAGTTTTTCTTGTTTAATATTGGAACAAATTTTTTTAATTCGAGGAAAATGACAAAATGTTTTATTTCTAATGTCCTTTTGAAAAAGTTGTAATTTAGTTTGGAAACTAAATATACACTGTGAGAGGTCAGATATTATTTTATCTTTGCCCTGCAAATGTAAATTCAGTGGTTGTAAATGTTCCATGACATCAGTCAAAAACATTAAGTCTTGTAACCACCCGTCATCATCTAATTCTGAATAGGTTAGTACCTTTTCTTTTAGCAATGCAGTTATCGGATCAAACAAATCTACAAATCGATTTAATACGTTGTAGCTAGATCACCATCTAACAATGGGAAAGAAATGAATGTAATTTGGAAGTTCTTCGTCCTTTAATTCTTCAAGGAAATTTAATTGTCGATGAATTTTTTCATTGGTGCGAATGTAATTTACAATGTGTAGCACTGTTTTCATAACATCAGGATATTTTAAATATTTTGTAACGAGATGTTCTTGGTGAATTATGCAGTGAATCGGTATGAATTGTGAAATTTGAGAATATCTTTAAAGCCCATAAGACCGATTTTTTTACTCACATTGCCGGAGCTCCATCATTGGCAATGTTTCAGTTTATTAAAGGCAACAAAGTTTTCATTATGGAATCTAATGCATTTTTAATATCGACACCGGGGTTGACTCTTGAATGTACTAAATCTAATAATTCCTCTTTAACAATGAAGTCAGGTGAAGCAAAACGTATGAAAACTGCCAATTGCGGAAGATCTGTGATATTTGTCGATTCGTCAAGGACTAAGCGGAATGCAATACAGTTTCTTAAAATCATTTTTTAAATTATATTCAAAAGATGCATTAATTGCAATTATGCGTCATTCGGTTGTGTGTCTCGAGATGGGAATTTGCGAAACAACTTTGTGCAATGCTGCATTATTCAGATCTAAAACTTTAAGTACATCTTCCAAGTTTTTTTTCCAAGTTTTAATAAACTCTCCCTTTCCATAGGGAGTTTTTGCACGAGCAATATTTCAGGCAATAACAAAACTGGCTTCAGCCACATTATTAGCTTGATTGCTAAAGGGCATCAAAATTGACTGTTGTGTATTTAAATTTGATTTTAAAGAAGCCAGTTTATCTGATGTTAATTTGGAGTTTGGTGGATACTGATTAGAAACCTGAGGATGATTGGTTTCATAATGTATACGTACATTGCTAGCTTTATAATTTTTGACCGTAGAATTATATAACACATAATGCTCTTCCGTTATTGTCAATAAAAATTAAATTCTCCTCCCACTCATTATTAAAATTTCTATTTTCTTCTTGCTCGTATTTTCTTATTTTACTTTCGTTCTCTGTCGTCATATTTTTAAAAGAACTGGAAATAAATAAAGAAATTAAGAAAATACATGTTTTGTGTTATTAAAACAATAACAACACATGTTACATACGACGAAACAAATTATAGTTAACTTACCAAAAATTCCAGATTACAAATTATATCCGTAGCAAGAGTGATACAAATTGTTTCCTTCAGAGCACAATGTCAACTGTCCGTTGCAATGAAAGTTTACAACACGGAGTATAATGACTCCGTGTTTATACTCCGCGGTTTACAAATTCAAAATCGGTCTGGAGTTGCGTTCAGACATCGGCTGGACACCAAACGCCTGAATAATTTCCTTACCCCTAGCATAACCGAGCTGTGAATCCGAGAGTGTTGGACGCACTTTGGTTAGCTCCGCGATTCTGAACTTTGAACTGATCCAGTCCCGTTAGGCGGTCGGTTAGTGTATTTTTAGCATTTTGACTGAGCACTGCTTTTGATTTTGAGATGACCCTTTGGTTCACGGTATATGCCTTTTTTAGGGCAGTTAATACAGACGATGAAGCCAGCGATTGCACGGACTCAGGACTCTCGACTTTCTCACTACCATCCACATCGAAACGTGAAGAAGTTTTGAAGGACCCCAGACTCAGGAAAAAAGTGAAAGCAAAAACGGATAACGCTGTTTCGGAGATGAAAAGGATGAAAGATCCTGAGAGGAAAAATTTCCGAAATTAATGCGGGACTACGGAGAGGAAAAAATACAGCTGCTTATACAGGAATTCGGAACGGATCACCTGACGCGCCACAGGGAATTTGAAGAATGACTAAAGGCTGCTAAATCCCCTGAAGAAGTGGTCAATCTAGCGATGGAATATTCAAAGAAACTACCAAGCTTAACAGCAAAAGACAACGAACGGAACAAAATGCCACTCTCAATGAAAAAGAAGGTAATTGGATTTTCCTCCAAGAAGACCGTAAAAGTTCAGGAAAAGCTAGTCCCTATGGAGATACCGCAGGAAAATCGATTCCAGATACTTCGGAAAATTGAAGAGGAAAGCCTAGTAGGAGGAGCCGGCGATGTGAACCCGCCCCCACCGATTGTATTGTCCAAAGTGAAATGGATTGGATAAAGTGGGACGAATTGTTCACGATACACTGTGCAGAAGCCCACGATTCACAAATGAGGGGAAACTCGATTTTTGTATACACCAAGAATCTGACTGACTACAGTTTGATGAGTGAACTCCTTCCAGAAAAGAAAATACCCTTCCATTCCTACCAGTTTGAAAAACCGATCCGCGTTATAATGAAGAATCTCCCGGCCACTATTAAAGAAAATACCATAGTCCAAGACCTGAAGTTCAAGAATTTCCCTATTTAAAAGCGAAACAGTTTTCGAAAAGTCATGAAGGAAAGAAAATCAACCTACCCATCTACCTCCTTGAAATCAAAAGAACCCCGGAAAGAAACAAGATACACCAGCTAGATAAAATGTTCAGCTTTAACGTCGTTATTGAAAAATTCAACCCTAAGAAAAGCCCCGTACAATGCTACCGCTGCCAGCAGTTTGGACACTCTCATTACTGTTGCAGTAATCCGGTGAGGTGTGTGAAGTGTGGGAAACAGCACAGAAGTAACGAATGTGACATGAAACGGAGGATAAGCCTAAATGCATATTTTGTGCCACGTGAGCAGCTATAGGGGCTGCAGCGAATGCAAAAAAAGGTTTGAAAGAAAAAGCAGTCCTCCCCAGCCGAAAGTACCTGAATTCTCGGAAGAAAACTTTCTAAGTTCTAAGACAACCCATACCCCATTGAATAAAAACCTCCTACAAGTCACTTACAGCGAGAAATTGCAAGGATAAATCCCCCCCCCCCGCCGAAAGACTCAAACGATGCCCTTAATTGGATACAAGATGAGAAAATCAACGCGTTCCTTACTGCCATCATATCCTGTATTGGGAAGATCAGAGCGGCAAGAAACTCAGCCGAAAAACTACAAACCGGATTTCAAGCAGCAATGTTACTCTTAAAATTTGCAATCTGAACTAGAATGACTTGTCATTTCTTAGGCATTATCTGCTTCTCCAGAGTTGGGCTACGAACGCTCATCATCGCAACATTTCTGAGAAACCAATTTTTGAATTCTTCCGCTACTTTATCATGTTATGCTAGGAACGTCATTGCCAATCGCAATGTGTTACATTCAGGATGAGGCTTTTAGCCTAGGCGCCTGTAAACATGTGCTTCGCACCTGAGCCTTTCCCCTAAAAGCATTAGTGATTGCTTTTAGGTGTTGTTAAATGACACGTCAATCATTTTTTTGGAAGCGACTAAAAGTAGTTCTGTTATTTTAATGCACCTTCTCTTTTCTTTGTTTACCGTCAATGTTTAGCTTTTAATGCCCCAAGTTGCAATCCTGTCCCAAGGGGGGAACTTCACACAGGGTGAAAGCATCCGAGAAAGAAATTCTCGCTTTACTTAAGTCGTTATTGTTAGCTCTGTAGTACTTAATTTATCATAGGGGGAAGGAAAAGCATTCCAGGAGAAATTCGTAGACAAGGCGTTTTCGATGTTTGCGGAAAAGAGATTTTGCCCTCTCTCGATGCGAAAGAGTTAACTTGGACGGAAATGAAATTTATTACAACGTTTCACTTAGTCTTTCATATTTGTTGTCAGTAATTTAAAAGACATTTTGAAACACATATGGAACGATAATAATTTTTTAATAGATAATAACACAAAAAGACAAGGGAACTCGGGTACATTTATCGAGAGCCACAAATAATCCTTCAAAGAGCCGCATGTGGCCCGAGAGCCGCAGAACGGCCACCCCTGCTATAATCATTTTTATCACATTCCAGCTGAATCATGGCAAAGAATAATTCATTGCCGTTTGTCGACTTTAAAGTCTAAACAACGGTAGCTAAGTCATTCGCAAAATAATTTCATCTACTCGGTGTTTGCGGCAAACAAGTTTGACAAAAATGTTTACTGAAGAAATTTTTACTAAAGAGTTCAGTTTCTCAACTCATGGGAAACTACTTCAAAATGATTAACTAAATGTAATAAATCAAACAGTTCCCAGCATAAGTTCTCAAATTCAGAGTTCGATTTCGAGAACTGAAGGCCCGGTGCAAAACCTATTGGGGCACCCTCCTCGAGTTTTTTTCAACACAATAGATGTCATTGATGTAAATTATATTTCTGATAAAGCACAATTTATATAAAGTATTTCGCATTCAATGTTTTTCATTTAGACTTACTTAAGCAAAAAAGTGCGTTTCCCCATTTTTATTTTGGTAGTTTCAGTTCCATGTGTTTGAATACAATGTAAACATACACATTTTAAACCAGGGTCTGTTTTTTTAAAGAACTTGAAAAATGAGTTAAGAACCTAAATATTTCTTTTCATTTTACTATAGGCTTTAATTAAGGTTTCGAGATAAGAATAAATAGGATACTTACGTATTTTCCCGTTCACCGTTTTCGAAATCATTGTTGCTAAGCAGTGCAATTTAACACTAATACTGGAAAGCTTGATGTCACAACAAGCTCCTCAGATCTTCTCATTGATTTCATAAAAACTCAATTAATTCCCGAGTAGTGAAAAATTGTGTTTTCTTGTCTTTATTTCTGGGTAATTTCAAAGGTTCGGTGTCTGATTTTTAAGGAAAAGCATAAAAAACTAAAACACTATGTTTAACATTTCATTTCTGTCTCTGATTTCATATTTTTAAAACTTAGAATTTAAAAAGAAAATATACAATACTTTACATACTTTAAATACTTTAAGAGGATTTGAAAACCGGATCACGAGTCCCGTTTTCCACGTGCGAAGATCAGGCCCTGCTCATACCTTATTCTGAGTATTCCAAACTAGAAAAATGAAAACAGGATAACAAAGGAGTTATTTGAAAATGTTAATGAAGTTGAAACATATATTTCTGTTAGCTGATTATACAAATAGCCTTTTGGGAAGGGAAAAACAGATTCAGAATCAAGGAGTACAGCTAATTGATTCGATTTCTCATTATTAATAGCAATTTTGAATTACTTGAATTAAACTTCAAAAGCCTGAACTTGTATTGCTGCTGTAAGCATATACTATTAGACTAATATTATTATTTTTATATAATAATAGCCCTCAAGCTTTAATGCTTTTAGTGGAACCTAAGTTTTTAATGGAATAGCTAATACATTTGGGATATCTGTTGTACATAATGTAACACCATAAGACGGATAATGGCATATTTGAACTCTGATGGGAGTGAAAGAGGTACTGACAAAGCAAATGATACATTTTCTATGAACTAGGTAGGAAATGATGATATTAATAGCTGCTCTTTATGAATCACTCTCGAAGACTCTCTGGCAATGTGGATATGTTATAGTTTGTTTGTAATAGTATTCAGCTGTGTGTTATATTTCATAGTAAATAATTTTATTTTTCTCTAGTCATATTATTTTAACTTGTTTCAATATGAACACGAAATATTGATAAGATAAAGCTTTGAAATAATTTTCATAGATTTCATAGGTTCGGTTGAGACGTAGGTAGTGTACCTTATTTGAAGCAATAGATTTCAGGATTCGTGGCAGGCATATTTCATCTTAAAACAGAAAAATGACAACTGCACAGTAGTTATTATGTTTTGCAAAAAGTTTCTCATTTTATGATAAAATTTCAGAATAATATATAATGATAATAACAGCAATGTAAGTTACTTAATACTTTTTCTGGCCTTTATATCTTCATGTACATTCACTGTTCTTATTATATTTTTTATTTTTATATTATTTTTGATTTATATTATTTTGATTTGTTTTTACAAAGTTTGCATTATTTAGCTTATTTGTAATCTTCTATGTTTATTTCACTTACTTTATACTTTGAATTCTATTCATAATGAAGTCCAATTTTTAATTTTTACAATTAATATAGAACTAAAATGCATAAACACGGAGTGTCGGGGGACGGTTACTCGTTTTTTTCGGATTCCCTACAGAATTGCTTTCACTCAAATTGATTGGCTAAAATGCTTCATAGAAATAAGTTCTTTGAGTATCAGCATTGGTTCATAATCCCTTCTATTCGCGAAATATTTGCCTGACTAGAATTGCCGGTTTGGCTTAACCTTATTACAGAGTAAGACGAACACCTTCGTATTTACGTATTTATTTATTAATGATTGTTCATTGAACGGGAGTTGGTTGTTCCCCTTGAAAAGTCAGCTAATTTCCGATCAATGACAATGATTACATGTTTTTTAATTTTTCCTTTTACATTGAAATTTTGTTCTTCATGATGATTTAATTACAGTCCCCGTTTAAAACATTATTAACATTTTACTTTCAAGTTACTTCAAAACTTTCAAAATATAACTTACCCAGTATGGATTCACTCTTTTAAAATAATTTCTACTTTTAATAAACTTAGGAGATAATATAATCATTAATCAATATTGTTTTAGGAAATAAATTATTATTAACTTACTTTGCAGCAATTGCGCAAGTAAGTATAACTTGTTTTCGCACTAAATGAATTTAAGATCATACATTAGACTAGAAGAGAAACACACGCTAATGTGACAATCAAAATCGTAAAAACAACCTTATATTTAGCGTAGGTATAATGAAACACTCAATCGATTTCGAGGGCAGCTAAAGGTCCCTCCTCATCAGGAGAAAGAAATACATAGAAAGAAGAAAATAAGGAGGAGTCACAGAAACATGTGGTCCTTATCAGCACTGCACGTGGTTATAACTAGATTTTTAATCCGAGTTGCACTGGCCGCCTACTTTTACTGAGCCAGGCTGTCTGATCAAGCATATAAAAGAAAATTAGCGAAGTTAAAACAGGGAGCGAGGGGCAAATGCACCTTACGCTCAAAATCTGAACTTCAAATAATGGAAAGCAACCACTGAACGGATTTTTATACCCTCTGGTAGTACCAAACGCGAGGAGGTAACGCCATCTATCGGCAAAATAATTGAATTAAGATGGTAGAATTTTAAAGGCATTAGGAAGGACTGGATTGGACTTCAAATCATTAACTAAACTGTTCTAAATCTCTTGTGAATGTGAAAAGCCTCAAGAAAATCCAATTCACCTATGGAAGAAGCCTTTTTGGATGAATTTTTGCAGAACCCAAAATCAAAATTATAGGTTAAAAGTCCAACTATGATACGCTATTGAAGACTTGTTAATTTCGCCTTTTCTGACATAAGATTCATGTTCCTTGATACGAAACTTCAACGCTCTTTTTGTTTGGCCAATATATCTTAAACCACACTGATACAATATACTATAAATTCCCCAAGAATTCAAGACAGAAACGCAATCTTTTAGAATCGAAGGGTGAATTTTATTAATAGGGCAGAAACCGACTTGAAAATTGAATTTCTGGAGAATCCGTGCAATTTTATAGCTAACAGAAGGATAAAATGGAAGCATGACAAGGTCATTAATATTACTTCTAACAGTTTTGACTTTGGTTGCTTCTTTGATGGGGCTATTTTTTATTGATGTTTATCAATATCACGGGAATGTCCACGTCAAATGTTGAAAATTGTCTCAAATATTTTTTGGTAAGCAAAGATTCAGTTAGGAAAAACTTTTTCGCACGGAATACATATAGAGCCATGTTTTTGCTTGGTGGCATGACTTTCACATTGTAACACTGACAAGGGTTACGGTAACACAGTTTGCTAATTAGTAAGCATACGAAATTCAAGGAAGGGGAGGGGTTTTTTTTTTTAAATGAAACATCAACGGAAGCTTTCATTCAATTTAACGTGAAATTGTAAGCCTTAAAGCTTCCGTTCACGTTAAAAAAATTTTGCATAAATTCAAATTGGCACTTCTTCGTCACATTATAAGGGACACACGCAAACGTTTATCTAAAATTGAATTTGAATTATATTACCTCCATTTAAAAATTGCTAATTCCACTGAAAAGTTTTTCCTCATTTGAACATACATCCTGGTCTAGAACCGATACCGTTTGTCAACGGCATAAAAATGCGCTTATTTCTAAATTCCTTAAACTCGCATACAAGTCAGATAGTCCCAACTATTTAGCTGATCTTCCCACTGTAAACGTTAACCCCATCGTTAATATCTCCAATAGGAATCTTTCGGAGGATCAGTTAAAAGTATTAAAATATATTTCATTTCACTTTTCAAAGACATCTAAACCTTCAATTCCTCAAATTATCGCCCTATATAGAAAAGCCTTTAAATTCTCCAAAATTTTGGAAACGCAGAAGGATACAATCCGCCACCTAATTACTCATAACTTTAATTTTAACAACAAATCTTTGGGTTCGAATCTTAGCAAAAGGAAAATGAGATCCTACGTGAAATTCATTCTGATACTAATATCATTATCTCTGAAGCTGATAAGGGCGGACAGATCGTTGTTATGGACAAACACACATATATTACTGGAGACTCTAAACTGATAAATGAAGGTCCATATTGCTCGATCCCTAAAGATCCTTCAACTTCGGACCTCACGAAAGTAAAAAGTGCTATTAAATCTTCCCACATTCTGCCAACTCAGTTGAAGAAATCACTTATTCCACCTATTACCAATTGCGCTAGACTTTATGTTCTTCCAAAAGTCCACAAAACCGGTATTCCTTTTTCGACCAATTGTTTCCAACATAGGTACTACTGCTTCATATCCTTTGGCCAAATATTTAGTTTCCAGATTTTCTCCTCTACTTGCTAACAATATTCACACTGTAAAAATTCTGTTGAAGTCATTGATAACCTTAAAAATATTTCCCCACTCTTCGTTCCATTATGGTTTCATTTGATGTCAAATCACTGTTTTACTAATGTTCCGGTCGAAGGAGCACTAATTGTCTTGAAACTAGGCTTCGGGAATTTCACTTCACACATACTGAAATTAATGAGTTGGTTTCGCTTACTAAAGTTTCCTCCGAGTCAAACCCACTTTGTTTACCAAAATGCATATTTTCGTCAAGTTGAAGGATTGGCTATGGGTAATCCTCTCATTCCGGCACTCGCTGACATTTATATGCACTAATTTGAGATGAAATTATTTGATAAACTATCTTTTTGTCTTTGGATTTGGTACGTTGACGACACTTTCGCACTTTTTTGACGGTTATAAGAGGATTCATCCGAGATTCTATCTATTATGAAATCAATTGATCCAAACCATCCAATTCACTCTTGAAATTGAATCCAACAATTCCCTTCCCCTTCCTCGATATTCTTATAATCCGCAATGAAACAGATTTTAGCACCACTGTGTGTACCGTAAACCCTTTGCAGTTTGTTTTACCACCCCATGCCAAGTCATGCCACACCTGTTAAGCAAAAAATGGCTTCTTTTTACTATTATGTATTTCCGCGCGATTAAAGTTTGTTCCTCTGAATCTTTGCTTACCAATGAACTTAATTATTTGAGAGCAGTTGCGATTGACCGTGGATTTTCTCCCGTGATTATTGATAAAGCCGTTAAAAAATTTTCAGATTCCCATCAAAGAAGACATTCCACTGTTAGAAATAATATTAATGACCTTGTTGTGCTTCCATTTTATCCTTCTGTTATCTATAAAATTGCACGGATTCTCCAGAAATTCAATTTTCAAGTCGGTTTCTCCCCTATTAATAAAATTCACTCCTTCGATTCTAAAAGATTGCGTTTCTGTCTTGAATTCTTGGGGAATTTATAGTATATCGTGTCAGTGTGGTTTTAAGATATATTGGCCAAACAAAAAGAGCGTTGAAGTTTCGTATCAAGGAACATGAATCTTATGTCAGAGAAGGCGAAATTAACAAGTCTTCAGTAGCGTATCATAGTTGGACTTTTAACTATAATTTTGATTTTGGGTCTGCA